TTTTTTTTTTTTTTTTTTTTTTTTTTTTTTTTGCTGTTTCCTCAATTTGGTTAACAGCAGAAGAATTTTGCCAAGAATAAAAAAAATTATTTAAAGACCGGTCTAATCTGATTTCTGCAAAAAGAACTCATCGTTAAAGCATTTTGCTGTTTGTTTCATTAAACGATGTGAAATCACCCAGTTATCCATTTGTCATTTGTTCAATGGATTATTGCCGCTTGACGACGACAATTTTGGCGACATTGACGACAACGGCAACAGAATCAGAGACATTGAAAAGCGTGAAGTATCTGCCAATAGCACCGGCAATACCGCTATCGTCAGCAATCGAGCAGCAACAGCCAAAGTAACATCAGAAACTTTACCTCCTTTTTTTCACTCAGCAATGACGTTGAGAAAATTAAAGAAACAAATAGCTGCTTGCAGTAAATTAATAAAATTTAATCTACACAATATACTTTCATTATATAACCTCTGTCACAGTGAGCAATAAAATTACTTTTTGTTACAGTAGCGTGACGAAGCATTATCGTCCTCTAAACACTCTAAAAATGACCGAAAATAGAACTGTGCTGAAACCATAAGAAAGAATCTTCAAAGAAGGAGAAGGAAAAAAGTGAAATATTAAAACCACCACCACAACGACGACAGTAACAACAAATTTACAAATACAGACTATGGATAGTTTGATAACATAAAAAAAAAAAAACTGGATAAGATGTTCGGTCAATTAACACTCAGTTAGACTGATTTTAAGTGACAGTACAAACGAATAAAAGAAATTCAAAATAGTTGTATAAATTCTCACGAAAATCCGAATCAAAAAAAAATTTTTTTTTTTAACAAAATGAGGACTAAATACCAGATTTTTTTTCCCTCTTACTCTTTTATCCTACTACTGTTTTTGCTGTTACTGTTGCCAGATCTTCAGATACAACAGGAATTGGCAAAAAAATAAATAAGTAGATAAAAAAAACCGTAGTGCATTTTTAGTGCATTTTTTTTGTGAAATATTTTAGCTAAATTTGAAAAAAAAGCAGTTTTTTAAATACTATTAATATTATTACTCGCATTAGAGTGAAAAAAATTCCTCTCAAAGACCAGATTTGTTTACCACGTTGGCAGCGCAAAACTGATCTATGCTGTCACTTTTCTTCATATAAAAATTTTTTTACCTTGTTTTTTCCTCTTTTTTTGCAGAAGAAATAAAAAGCGAAAAATGAGAAAGAGAGATGAGCGATGAATTGGTGAAGAAAAAGTTAAACAGTAGCAAAATTGGTGAACTCTGTGTTCACAGTGTATTTGAAAAAACACATAAATACACCAGGTTGAATTCAGTTGCAGTTGGATAATCGAATAAGAGACCAATTACTCAACCTGTTTTCTATCTTTTTCTCCTTCTCCCTGCTTCAAAAAATTAAAAAAATAATAAATTCATCATCTTTTTTACTTAGTTTATCCCTTTCTTTATCGTTTCTCCCTACCTCAAGATAACTTCGGTTTTTCTTTTGTCTTAAGTTTATCACCACTCTTCGTTTCTTGTTGTTTTTGCACACAAATCTATTTTTTTTTAATTTTTGTTAAGCAAAAATTTATACAGTCAATAAAAACGTCTCAAATCTGAACACAAAACAATCTTTTAATGAAACAGCAAATAAAAAAGTAAAAATTGATAAGAAATTTGGCATCTGCTTAATGTTCAAAATTTCCTAGTTATGCTCAACAATTTTTAAAGTACAACATAAAAAATTTGTTCAGCTTTCAAGAAGAAAAAACTAACCTTAGCTTACAGTTTATAGATAATTACATAGATTTATCGGTAATCAGCAGGTGGAAAGAGAAGAAGAAAAACCGGCGCATTAATCAACACGTATAACCAAAGTTTAAAATGTTTTTGAAATAATGACCTATTAGAATTGTTTGTGCAAATGAACAGTTAAACTTTTTGCACAAATACAAATAAATGACAGATCATTTATATAATATTCTGTTTTATTTTTTCAAAACTGATTTCCAAGTTTTATTCTTATTATTACAGTGAAAAGATAAAAGGTATACCATTGTTAAACATTAGTCACCTATCGTTTATGTTCGCATTATAACAGTCAGTCGTTATTTATGATGGTAAAATAGAGAGAAAGTTTGATTTAATCTAAATATCAAAATTCTACAATAACAATAAAGAAATTATAAAGTATAATTAAAAATAAACGAATAAAGAGTAACAGTATTAATGATAATCTACAAACCATATAAATATTTTGGACAATCGCAGTAACAGTGGAAAATCAAAAAAAAAAAAAAAAAAAAAAAAAAAAAAAAA